TATTAGTATACCTACTACGTATCTGTTAGTTATTTACTTAGTTGTTTGTTTGTTATTTTTATTTTTTACTTTAACTTTTACTTTTACTTATTATTTTGTTAGTATACTCTCTCTCTCTCTCTCTCTCTCTCTCTCTCTCTCTCTTTGGGATTGTTTCACTTCATTTTGGCCAACTTGGGGGAAACTGGGCGAGTGGACTCGGGACTGGCTGAGCTGATTCATGTTGGCTCATGTCAAGTGCCAGAGTGAGTCTGATTTTTCCAACTCTAACATGAATAATATTGCCTTCAAGGTCTGGTAATGTATTAACCCATAAGGTAGGTTTTGATGGTGGCATGCTGTACAATAGGCAGTTTCATATAGAGTTTAAGGATGCAGAGTTTGCATGACCAGTCATGAAGATAATGAAGGAGCAATGGCTTGAGAGAGAAGGGAGAAGGATGATGCAATAGTTTGTTGATTAAAACTTAGAGAGAGAAACTCTCTTTACACGAATTTGTAATTTTACCCCTAATAATAACTGGGAAAATATACCATTCTCTCAAAAAAAATAACTGAGAAAATATACCTTGGTATTTATTTATAGAGCCTTCCTATTTGCTTCCTTTCTTAAAAAATTGCCTTCTAACCCTGTTCCATACATCATCCTTTAGGTTATTGGATTTGATGTCTTCCATCCTGTTAGGCCTTCATCAATTCCCCCCCAGCTGGTATGAACTTGGTTCTTACAAGTTTTTCTCTACATATTGATTGTAGAGGCCTCTATCAGGCTGCTCCAATCTTTGGCAGTTGCCCAATACTTTCTGTATTTGGTCGACCCATCCATTGACAAGGAACTTGTAATGGTTACCCTGTTGAATTAATATTGTTTAGCTTTGATGATATCTCAAATACCTTCATTTGGCTTCTTTGGGAGTTGCTCAACCCATGTCCCGTAACCTTCATGGCTTTGGTTGTCCTGGTCATGTCCCAGGTATTCATACAAATTGGCAAATTTGAAGACAGAGCTGATGCTAAGGTCCTTGGGCAGGTCAATGTAAGAAGCACCTGGACCCACCTTGAACATTTTGCATGGTCTAACTTTCCTTGCCTTGAGGTTGTTGTATGTTTGTAGAGGAAACTATTCTTTTTGTCGAAAGACCATTTGTTCATTTCCCTCCTCAAATTTCTTTGAGCACACATGTTTTATTGTTCATTACTGGCTTCAATGGCTTAATGCATCTTGTTATGCAAACTTTTCATGTGCTTGTCGTATCCATTGGGATCTTCACTGGGACATGCTTCGATAACCAAGAGAACTAAATACAAAACATGGTTTGGACTAATGACCACATGTTACCTCAAATGCCAACTTGCTGTTAGTTTGGTTCAGGCTTGTTGAATGCAACTTCTTTTAGTGTAAACAGAAGATCCCATGATGGAACCATATTACCTACTAAGCATCGAAGTAGGTTGCCTG